TTATATTAATATTAATATATTAATATTATAATTATTATAATATTAATATTATATTAAAAACAAAGTGACTTATGCCACTTTCAAAATAAATGGCTCATATAGTCTACAGTTTATTATTATAGTGAATAATTTCGGGGCCTTAGACGAACATAATAGCTGAACAATTCCTATTAAATCAAAATTCAGTATCAGAAGTGATACCTTGACGATCATCTATTGGTCAGCGAGGTATTACTGGAGTTTTTTTCGGTGGTCACCCAAGAAGCTGTCCTTAACAGCACGTATGTCAAGGTCGTGGTCATTGGAGGCAGATTCCTTAAGCAGCACTTTTACCACTATCGTCCCCTATGCACTGTCCTCCGTGACGTTTTAAGGGGGGAATTTCTTATTTCTGGTGAAAAATATCGATTCTGCTGCGTTTGTTTTCCAAAATGGAAAACAGTAAATAACTTGAAAGTAAATCCAGAGATTTTATTATACTTTGATCAGGTGACATAAATCATTTCGCTTCGATTTACTCATAAATGCGGACCTTTTATTGAACTTCGATCAAATTATATTGAATTCTTTCAGCTCGATTTGCTGGTAATTTCGGAGAGAGAGATTTTATTACATTTTGATCATGTTATGTGAACTCTTTCAATGCTAGTAAATACAGAGATTTTATTACACTTTGATCAAGTTGCATAATAATCGTTTCGGTTCGATTTTCTCGTAAGTGTAACAGTTTTATTACACTTTGATCATGTGGTACAAATGTTCAATTTGGAAAAAGCTAGAAAAATCGTCCCTATTTTTCACGTTAAACGAAATCTACAATTATTTTGATTGGATGCCAAACGATTCTCAACGCTTTATCTACCGACAGCCAATTAATACAATTTTGATTTGCTGTGCTATAGTAAAAGAAATCTCAGCAATCTTTCTCTACGTGGTAAACACACATGACATAAATAATGACTACCATTAAACAATTTATTATAACCCTTGGCGGACCAGAAGTATTTCAAGTTCACGCGTACCAGAGATTTTTTAAATCAAATTCAGAAAAAAGGTGTTAATTTCATTAGAATTCGATTCAATTTTTTAATATAGTATTTTACAGTTCAATATAATTTTTTAACAGTATTAATTTTTACTAACGCACTCAGTGATATATTTTCGTCAAAATCATCGTAGTCTATTCTTCCAAAGTTTTTACGATCCCATTGTCTTATACCACGTGTACGGTATCGTTGGACCGTCGAGGGTTAAAAAAGAGTCTTCGGCTGTAGATTGTAGATGATCGAAAATGAGAAAATTGTCGCCGGTAGGTAATGCGTTAAGTTCGAAGTTCAAGTGGATCGTTCCGGTAGCTTCTCTCGAACGATGCCAGGCCATCTGCCACAGTGTTCAAAGTTCGAGCCACTTCATCGTCGTACGAGCATCGAGTATACGATGAGTAACTGACTCAGGGTTCCGCGGAGGCGTTTCCAAAGAGAGAAGCCGCAGGAGAAGTCGATTTCTTTCACCAAAAACGAAAGAGGTTCCCCGCTTAAGCGACCGGGACGAGGCCGCGCGGCTTTGCCGGAACGGTGCGGCCTGAAAGATCCTAATTTCCGTGGACCAGTTTCACGGCTATCGATTCTTCCCGGCGACGAAACGCCTGGTCTACGGCTACGCGGATGCACGAGCCACCGCGCGAGATCAGCGTAATCGGGAACATAAGTTACGCAAGGAGTGGGGGTAGGTGACGCATGCGCGGGAGTCCCGCGCAGCGGCGTGGCGCGTGAACGTTATACTATGACATATATATATATATATATATATTATAATATACTGTATTATATTATATTATATTATATAGATTATATTATAATATAATATAATAATATATTATATATATATTATATATATATATTATATATTATAATATATATTATTAATATATATATTATAACGTTATAATATAACATTCACAAAAAAATTCAAGTCCTCCAGTCCAGTCCTAAAAAAGTTATTGCATTCGAAAACGCAACGTCCGAATATTAATGAAAGTCACTGTAATTCTGAACAATAGACTTACGTCGCGTCGCGACCGTAGCTCAGAATTGTAGTGTTCACACGGTACACGCGCCACGCCACTGTGCGCGACTCCCGGCGCATGCGTCACCAACCCCACTCCTCGCGTAACTTATTTTCGTGGCTACGCTGCGTGAGACTGGTCGTCGGAAAAAGACGAGCGAAATACCTGTCCCTGTTCGTGTTTCGTCCACGTACACAACACTCTAGACGTTTCTCAGTGTCTCTTTCCCTTTCTCTGACGGGATTTTACTGGGTGTACTCGTTAAGTTTGAACGCCATTTTTCTCGCGTTTCGTGCGGTGCAATTGAAAAATGCTTCGCCTATTCTTAAATCTCGAGTGATGCATTCGACGTAAACAAGTCAAGGTCACCTTTTCCTAATTGCAACGGTGTATTATATTATGACCTCGAAGCGATCATAGACTCGAAAATTTTCTGCGATCGCGATAATATTTAATGAAAAATTATTTCTTACATAATAATGCAGGTTACGAGGTGGTCTTGACGTTTTTCTTCCCGCGTAAAAGGCATCTTTCACGATTTAAGAACATGCGAATCTGTAGCCTGCCAAGCGGCGATCAAATTTAGTCCTGGAGCATCGTTTAATTGCAGGATCGAAAGTGCCTAGAAAATGGTAAGCAAACTTAACGGGCGCGTCCTGTACACGTACATAGATATATCGCATACATATTAAATGTATATGTGGTGTAGAGAGACTGTTCTGTTCGAAGTTCCACGTTCCATAGTTCGAACCGTGTGTGGATCGTCATCCGACAGGCCGCATTGCACCGAGTTTAAAGATCCGCGCGACCACCAGCTTCGCAGAGAGATCGTGTAACTAGTCCGCCTAATGTCGTAGCTCTGAACGTGAGTAAACATGCGAGACGTTGCCCGACGCTTGCGAACAACAACAATGTGGATATTGCTCCCATCACTGTCTCTCGACCTTTTTTTGCTCGTACCCTTTTCGTCTTTTTTTCTGTGTCTTCCGTTCACTTCCGAACTAGGTTGCCAGGCTTGGATGCGAGATTCCAGATTGGTAGAGTGACGGCGAATAGTACGGCATGCGGTGTTCGCAGGAAAAGTGGCTACGCGAGGAGTGGGGCAATGACGCATGCGCAGCGCGTCCCGGACAACGGCGCCGCGAGCCTACCCGGCGAACGTTATAGCTCTGAACTAGGATCAGACAGAGGCTTTACGTCGCGTCGGGATCTTAGTTCGGAGTTATAATGTTCTGCCGGTAGACGCGCCACGTCGCTGCGCGGGACTCCCGCGCATGCGTCGCCCGCCCCACTCCTTGCGTAGCAAGTTTTCCTGCGAACACTTATGGCGGGGCGACTCTCACTGCCTCGCCACGTGCGGCGGAGTCGGAACCACTCGGAGTCGCTCGGTCATCCAAAGGGTGTCCCTATTGTATTTCGGTTCGCTGCCGTGTTCACGGCGCCTCCTTAGGCTTCGAACTGTAGCTAAGAAATGCGATGCAATCGGGACACCAGTTAGCCCTCCGAGTGTCTCCGACTCCGCTGCGCGAGGCGAGGCAGTGAGGGTCGCCACGCTTTACTACCTGCCCCCACTTTACCGATCTAGAATCTCGCATTCAAACCTGGCAACCAGGCTTCCGAAGCCGAGGCTCCGAGCACGAGGCGTCGCACAGTGTGGATAAATGACAAAGGTTGCGTCAAAATCGTGGAATTTTTTACAGAAATTAGATAAAGAGATGTTTTTTTTATTTTTTTTTTTAAATCAAAGTTAAAATGTTCTAGAATAAGGGAAAATAATAATTCAACATCTTCTGATAAAATTTTTGTTTGCCTACTATGACGTGATCTTGAAAACTGTGGGGAAAACATTTTAGTATAATGTAGAAATTAAAGAACTTTCTTCTGTGTTTCTACATTATTTTGTATCTGTACGATACCGGCCACGTGATACCATTCGAATTGCACGCAAACAATGTATTAATTTCTCGAAATTAGTGAAGACAATATGAGAGTGCCACACTTCAGCGAGACACCCGGTATCGCCACGCATGGCCGGATCTCACGTACTATTTATTTATCGATATTTATCCTACGATTTCACGTGATTTCACATGACGCGACATTAGTATGTTTCTACCTGTTTAGACGTTCTCGGCTCAGCTCGGAGCGTCTCGTTCGACATCGTGCCTCCCGAATGATCACGATCGCCCTAATCGGTACTCCCATCGAGTCACGCACCGTTTTTTACGCATCTCATGTATATAAGTCGCGTTCATCCACGTCCCGTCGGCGATTTCTTTCGGCGGGTCGCCTCGGATTTTTCGTTCGCGCGACCATCGACGAATCGGTTCTACCGAAATAAAAAAAAGAAAAAAAAAGAAAGAAAGAAAAAAGAAAAACGTTCGGCGAGCTAACGAATCGATGTTTCCTGCGTGACACCGACCGGGCCGGACCGCGCGTTGGTGCCAATTGGTTGGTCCTCGCAGCTCTCGACCGCCGATTTCTATCCGCCGCGAAGAGCACGATTCGCTAGTTTCGGTAGAGATCGGCTCCCGTTACGGTGGTGAACGAACGATTACAGCTCGACGAGCTCGAAGGGAGAGGTAGAAAGGAAGCTGCCTGTGTCACAGCAATGCGCACCGTGACTCTCGGAAGCGTTGACGCGCGCGACATCCCAACGTAGGTGTTCTTTATCGTTGATTTTTATCGTAACCAAAAGAAAAAAAAATTAAAGAAAAGAAAAGAAAAGAAAGAAAAAAAAGAGAATGAGAATAAAGTAAACAGTCGAGAAAAGAAAAGAAAAAGTAAATATGAAGGAGAGGGAAAGTAACAAAAAAAAAAAATAAAACTTGAAAGAGAAAAGAATTAATAGAACATTCGTACATTCGCCTAAGATCAAGTTGATGAACATGTTAATTAATCGATCTTCCTTTTTTCTGTTTTTTCAACGCTCTAGTTGTTCAGGATTAAGCCTCTGCCAGTGTTAGTAAGTACCGCCACTTGATCTGGTGTGATTGGACTGCTGTAGTTAGAAGGCTATGCGTTTATCATACATATAACATTATTATACATACTCACACCATACGTCACGTTTGTTAAACACATATATATACACTCACACACACACACACTCTCTCTCTCACACACACCGTCCATGTATCGTCTGTCCGCGGCGTGGGTCTGAGTAAAAAGAAAACACGGCTCGAAACGGATCCGCGCGATCGTCGGAACGTCGAGACGGTCCCGGCGTACGTCGGCGACCCAAACAATGCAACGCTTTGTCTTTTCTTTATTCGTAGCTTACGTCCGCCTGACGCGTTTCAAAGCTTCCGTCAGGACCGTCTCGGAGTCGTCTGAGAGCCCACGAAACTTTACCCAGACTCAAGCCGCCCGTTCATTCGACCGCCAACACACCACCGCTGCAGAAACTGTAGGTCTCCACTTGACCATCACCCCCTCCCATCGCGCTCATGCTCCGCTGGCGAATCAGCCGGATTTCAAGCCGAAGGAGTGGGGGTATGTCGCGTAACGCGCCGGGACTCCCGCGCAGCAGAGTGGGGAGCGTAACGAGTGTACAGCAATGTCTCCCAAACTGACGCACAGATTGTGCATAAAAATGGACAATTTGGGAAGAGGAGATACGATTATTCGAGCCTTGCAGCTCGTTTTTATAGTTGTTGACAATCGATAATTATCAAAACAAGGCTCTGATAAGCGTATCTCCTCTTCCCAAATTGTCCATTTTTGTCCATTTTTGACAATCTGAGCGTCAATTAGAGAGACATTACTGTACATCGTAATTCTGAATTACCGACGCGACTCGTCGTGCAAACTCTGCGCGAATAATTCAGAATCAGAGCGTAGACCAGCGTTGCTAGGTCCAGCGCGATCTCACTGCTTCTCGCGATAGAGGGGATAGAAACGTGCTGCAAACTGTTGCAGTCGCAAAATGGGAGACTAGGCTACGTAACTCTAATATACCGCAAACTGACGCAGGCGCAGTGGCTGACCTCGCGAGAGGACTGAGAGACTACCTGCCTAACCTACGATACCTAGCAACCGACCAACCTACGAGCGCATCCATTATTCCGTTCCATTATTACAGATGATGACAAGATAGCACTCGAGGAGAACTATTGGGTTGGCCAACAAGTCGTTGCGTTTTCCTGTACTGCCATCTATTGATAAAATACGCAATGACTTATTGGCCAACCCAATACATTGTTATCGCCTGTGACAATGCAATGGAATTATGGACGCTCTCGTAGATAAGTCAGTTGTTAGATATTGTAGGTTAGGTAGATAATCTATCAGTCCCCTAGCGGGACCATTCTCTGTGCCTGCGCCAGTTTGCGGTACGTCAGAGTGACGTAGTCTACCACTCTGCCACTGCGCCAGTTCGCAGTACTTCCTTACCCCCCTCCACCACGCAAAGCATTGGAATAGCACTGGACCTAGCATCACTGGTGTACACCCGTTACGCGTGCCACTCCGCTGTACGGGAGGCCGGGCGCGTCACGTGATCCCAACCCCCCACTCCTTCGACTTGAAGTCTGGCGTAATCGCCTGCGAACCATGCTTGCGTTTCTCTTCAGTTTACTCGCTCACACCACGCCCCGGGCCACTAGAGTTTCTATAAACAAGAGATTACTGTAACGAGAAAAGCCATTTCCCTTCTCTCTCTCTCTTTCTCTCTGTTTCAATCTCTCTATATCTATCTCTGTCTGTCTGTCTCTCTGACTCTGCCTCTATCCATTTCTCGCTCTGCTGGCACTTGTAGAGTGCTAGCCGCACGAGAGCCCTTCTTTCGCTGCCGATCGAACGAGATCGTGAACTACGACGCCCGTCGAATTGGCGATCTTCGGGGAAAGGCAACGAGAGAGCTTCGTGGTCGACGAGAAGACTGCGAGACGATTATTGTGTAAATATAGAGCAGGGATCGAAAGGTTGTGTCACTTTTTCATAGGCTTTATTTCGAACCTGGACTTTTTACAGTCGCGTCCTCGCGTTATGTGTTCCTATAAGACAGAATAAAGAAAAATGTCGAGGCTACTGAAGAAAAAACTATTAAAATATAAAATCGGAAATTTATTTGGACGGATATAAATATTTCGTTTATTGATAGTGAAAGAGTTCTTTGTCGTTGCATCGAAGAATATTACTTAATGAATAGTACTGTGCCAATATAAAATAATTATTGCACATAATTATGTTCCGAATAGATTACTTGTTCGTAATATTTGTGTAAACATTTGACAGTTTTAAGGTTGCTTGTGTTTCTAATATAGGATCATTCTTAATACTTTGACCGTCAATCTTTTCACACGCCGATCTGAAAAAATGTTACGAAATTCGAGCAGTTCGTTTAATGAAAATAATATTGCAAATCGAAGTTGCGCGACGTGAATTACTTTCTCAACATTCTTTCGTTTCGCGGATACTAATAAAATTAAGAAAATGTAACAAATTAGCGTTAATAAACATTCTGAGATAACTTATTTCGAAGGAACTTTCATTATACCGATAATTTTATTATGCAGACTATTTTAAAAATATTATATTATAATATATGTAATATTTAAAAAATTGTCCTAAAGATAAGATATCGATAACAAAAATTCATAAATATTTTCTTGGCAGAATCAAAATAAGCTCGAACAAAATTTCTTCTAAAATGAACGATTGCTATCAATTTCGATCCCTGGCGCATAGATTAAGCTTACGCGAATATGCCAGCCTCTCAATCTTTAGTCTGCTCTTATCTTTAACTAGCGTCGAAGTTATGATTACCTATTGTCATTTCTTTCCTTTGTATTAACTTCGTTTTGTTCACCGGAGTTATGGTTCGATGGTGAGAAAGTCCTTTCAGTTTTTCTTGCCGATGGCAGACCTGTCGATTTACCTGTTAATTAGAGCTGCTGCGTTTCGTTCACACTGCGATTACTATTGCCTTTGGGAATTTCTTTTATTGCGACAAATGTTCGCCCGTGAAGAGCTGTTCAGTTGATTTTCATCTCGGAAAAATACCTAATTAAATCATTCTCTCGTTACTTCTTCGAGCTTCATCTCTGATATGAATCTAATTTCATCTCTGTAATTTTCAAGTACGTCAAACTCGTTTTAACGTTCGACGATCATCGTTCAATCGACACTTTCAAATCCTTCTGTGAACATTCAGGATACCGACGCACACGAAACCCACGAACAATTACTAGACTGTGGATTTTATACGTTTATGGCAAAAGAATTAGGAGAGTTCAAGAGTACTTACAACAATGACTAAATGATTAAACGAACTAATACGGTTTTTATTAACTTCTGTTTCTTGTGAGAAGCCGTTCATTTTGCACAACGAGCTGCACACTCGGGATTAATTACCAAACCGCAGATCTTTGTACAAATCTTTAGATTTGTTTCTTGAAAAATCAGAACGAGGAACAAATACCTCACAATTATTATTAACGTTATTAATTGATTACCAGACCGCGGATCTTTATGCAAAATAAAAATTATCCTCGCCAATTGCAACAAACACGGGTCAAATAATAATTGTTTCTTTTAATAGTTCTTTGAAAATTAAGAATTTCTTAAAAATTGTTCAAAAACTTCAAATTTATTAGACTAGCAGAAATTAAAAGAAGAATTATTTAGGCTAGTAGAAAGTTCTTTCGAAATTGTTATTTAAGAGAAAATGATCAAACCACTCCTACAGTTCACTCATTGAACAACCAATTAGTAGGTCAATAAAAATAAATGAAGTGTTAACACTAGAACTACCATACCAGCCAAAACGACTGGTATCTGATTTTTCCTTCTGATATTATTAATATAAAAACTATATTATTAATATAGTTTCTGATATTATAAAAATGTTTCCATGCAAAACTTCTCGAGGAACGTTTTTGGTCGAGCATATATTCGTATAAAAATCGTACGAAATTTTCGTGTTGATTTACCAAAGTAACAATAAGAAGTTCATTCCGATTTTTAACTTATCATCCAAATTATGATTATAAATTATAAATATATTTTTACAATTTGAACAATCGTAAATGAACAACTTTGTGATGAACTCCGTAAATCTAAATAAATTCGATCTTGTCATTGCTATAGAACATTTTAGGGCTCGGTGGTTCCAGCGCCAATTTTCTCATTGTTTTAAGTTTCGCGGAACAATCTCGATTACAAATGCGTCGGTTAAACGTTGAACAACCGTACGAGTGCCATGAACGCGTAAAAATCCTAAGTCCACCGGCAAAGTTCACTCACAACAGTTCCACAGAAGAACCGACTCCACGGGAAACAATTCGACTTTCTCACCATACCACAGTCACATAGATGAATCCGATTAGTGCTTAGATGATTCGTTAGTCGCTTTTTACACGAAGAGACGCGACGAACAATAACGAAGCGCCTGCCTGTGCCGGGACCTCGGGTGTCCGGGACGAATCCCCGCGTCAACTGCATCCGACCGCGAAAGTGACAAAACGTTTCTCGCGCTGATATGCAGTGTCTGATCGCATCTGCCCAACGAGACGGAACGAAAGAAAAGCCAAAAAAGAAACCAGGAAAAGAGAATCTCGAGAGGCAGTATTCGTGCAGAGCTGGATTCCCGTGAAACACACAAATCTCATCCGCCCCACATATCACCCTCTACCCCTCACTCTTTTTCTATAACCACCGACAACCCTTTTTTAAATTCATTACGAGTCATAGTAGCCGACTTGCGCTCCCGTTCGCCAACGAAGTTGCGCGGACAAAAGTCGCACAGCACTTTTAATATATCGTTCACTGTATACATCATTTATTCTATTTCCATCATACGCCGTTTGTTATTCGCACACTTTGTTACCGTAGAGAGCCCGAATGCATACTCTGCATATCGCGGCTTATTTTCAAAAGCGTGTTCCGTGTGCGTGTATGTGCGTGCGTGCGTGTGCTCAGTCCGCTGTGTTTACATACTGTGCAGCATCCAGTGCTTCAGCT